GCCGCCCGGCTGGCTCCTCTGCAAACAGCTCGCTCGGGGCACTCCTCCTCCTCCTCCTCCTCCTCCTCCTCCTCTTCCCAGACGCTCCCTGAGGAAGGGCAGGGCTGCTCTTCCAGCTGCAAGGCTGGAGAAGGGAGAGCCCCAGAAGGTTGAAGGGGCTCAGCCAGGGCCGGGGCGGTGCAGGACATTCGGACAGGTCTGTCCCGCGCCTGCCGGAGAGCAGAGCCCTAACGGGAGCCACGCGATCCCTGCGGACCCGAGCGCAGCGCACGTAGCGGGACATTAAGCATCACGAATGACAAGTAGTAAAAAAACTGTCAAAATAAGAAAGCAGCAGCTGTCCCAGGTGTCCCAGCCCGGCTTTTCGGCAGTGCTAACCCCTGGGATGGCCACATCCAGGGAGCCGACGGGTGACGACACCGACGCCGGCCTCTCTGGACGCTTCCCCCAAACCCCTCAAAAGCAGCTTGCACCAGCCAGTGTGTGGTGGCCCCTGCCCGGCTCCAGGCTGCCTCGGGGTGCTGGCAGCTTCACGCGTGCCCTACCTGCTGCCTGCAAAGGTCCCAGGAGGGCGACAGGTGGGTGGGAGGGGAATTTGGGGAGGGGAGCAGGCAGAGGAGCAGCCGGATAGAGCTGGGGAGGCCAGAGACCTGCTGAGACCTCGCTCCTAAGGGGGGAAAGCCTCTGGATTTCATACAAGCCAGGCTGAAAGAATTTGAAAGCCACCTCCAAGCACTTGTTGCAATCAGACAAATGTTCCTCCCGCCTTGCATTGCTCCAGGGACTGGGGACATCGGGATGAGCCCAAACGGAACCTCTGTGTGACCGGCAGGGCTTGGCTGGGCTGGGGGTGGCACCGAGCTGCCCCACGTCCCGCAGCCATGGAAGTGCCGAGCGGCGGCGGGGGACATGTAGAGGAGGAATGTGGGTGGAGAAGGGTTTGTCCAGGCTTTTCCCAATTTAGGACAACAACTGGAAGGTGTATTTATGGCTGGGGGCATATGGTGGGGAAAGCAATGGCCCAGTCACTGGGACAAGGCAGAACCAGCAACCATCAAAGGTGAAGCCTTTCTAAGCCTTCTGCGAGGCTCTTCCAGAGCAAGGTGCCTGCGACTCCCACGTTTCCCTCCCCAATTTAGTCTGGTACCTGCCAAAAGCTCCCCCCTGCTCTGTTGCTTGGCAAACTGGGACGAGCACGGTGGCAGCGGGCAAGGGCGGCCGGGCTGGGAGCCACGGTGCCTCCCGCCGGCGTCAGCCTCACACCCAAGGTCCAAAATTCGCCCTTCACAGCAGGAAGAGGCAATTTCAAGATCCAAAGGTATCGGCCGCTGCAAGGAGCTGCAAACAGGAGCTGCCCAGGAGCTGTTTCCCCATGGGGGGTGCAGCACAGCGAGGCTCTTCCTCGCCCCGCTCCACCGCGCCGGCCGCGCCAGAGGGACTGAACTGATGCTACGGCAGCGCAAAATGGAGGAAGGGTTTATCCGGCTGCTCCTTGTCAGCCCTTCCTAGGGGCAAAGCCAGAAACCTGGGTTAAAAATTAAAGGGGTGCCTGGCTTGGCCAGCTCCACCCTCCTCAAACAAGCAGGGCAGGAACAACGCATACGACCCATGGCTGCCGGACGCTGCCGGGGCCACTGCGGCCCAGCGAAACGCACCACAGGTCAGAGCTGGATTTTTCCAATCCTGGCCTAAAAAAGGACGGCAGCGGATCTGGGGCAGCGGGGGGGCTGACTCGCCTCCCTGCCCACCTGCAGGGCAGCGTGGGGAAACATTGCAGAAAAGGAGGCGTCAGGCGGGGAAGCCGCTTGCCCGAGGCCATGTGCTGGCATCTGCACCAGGAACAGCGCTTGCAGGAGCACGAGGAGCCTCCGTCATCGCGACACAGCGGTGAGTGCTCCCGGATGGGTGCATGGGGGACGTGGTGGGAGCAGAGCCGGGACCCTCACTACAGGAAAGATGTTGGGTTGCTGGAGCGTGTCCAGAGAAGGGCAGCGGAGCTGGGGAGGGGTCTGGAGCCCCAGGCTGCTGGGGAGC